TGCCTTTCAGTCCTACTGTTTATAGTGGTAAACAGCCGTTAAGATCACTGATCTGCTGCATTACAGCATTCAGGGGCCTATACTACTGCATGAAGCCGGTTTAGATGGCTAGCCCGATATGTTTTAGTTTAGTTAAGTTTGCACCAAACCTGGGTTTTAGGCACCATGAAAGTGATTTGGCTTTTAGCATTGTTCATCGCCAATGCTCTACGGCTAACCATGGTTAACCTAACTTCACAACTTTAACTTGCACTGATATAGCAAGTAAATTGGTTTGAATTCTTAAAGAGCAGAGCACCTATTATGGAAATTTGAAAATTAACTTTCATGTAGTGTGTAACATAGTTTTAAATATGAAAGTTAACCGTATACAAAATTATTGTCTCTCAAAAGTAAGAGTCGACTCTGAGCCGCTCATATGAATCGATAGACGAACAATGCTTTTTCTCCATCTAGAAGATGACGTTAACTTGACAAGTTATTTGAATAAGATACACCCACTTATTGCACTCGTAGACACCAGGGAAAACATCATGGCTATGAGACGCACTTTTTTCACCTGCCCAGGGAGGAGCATAAAGACTAAGCGAATACAGTTCATACAACTACACCATAGAAGTATAGCCCAGACATTGTGCCTTGTTCACGTCATTTTGAAGATGTCTGCTTCACAAACATAAATGCTATCAAATATGGATTCGCGAGCTGGCTGATATTGAAGAAAGCAAGGTTTAGTACCAAGTTTATTTGGATCAGCCTCCTCCTCCGATTGACAACCTGTAAGTGTTACTAATATTAATTGTTACTTTTATGTTTTTATGTAGCATTCTTAATAATTATTTTGTGTGTTGTGTACACACAGCGCAGCTTCTAGGTCTGCCATGTCAATTGTATTGCAAAAAGTGCAGTGTTTGTGGTTGTCATAAAGAATAGAGCAATACCTCATAGTACTGCATTATCAATATGTTTATGCGTTGGGCTAATGCAAACAAAAACTGAATGATTAGCATCAAAGAGGCGGGGTTTGGAAAAATTATTCTCTGAATGATTCATATGGGAGTCACTAAGCCAGGTAAAAATAAATCCAAATTATAAAACAAAAGAGTTTTTTTGTCATAGCTAGCATGCATAGCAAACTGTTGTTAGGGACTCCCAAAACAATATTAGGAACATTTTAAATGCCATAAAAGGTGCCCTTTAATATTTTTCAATGAATCGCTGTTTAACTCTCTCTCAGCATGTGATTGTCTGTTTGCTACTGATGTCACACACTTAAACTCAGGATTAAAGCCTGAGTTGACAGAAAGCTGATGATCAGCATCATGGTACCAACAAAGCCTGGTTACACTGGTTTGGTTGTCAACTTAAAACTAATCCTGTAACCCTGAGTTTGAGAACTACCATCATGGTACAGGCCCCAGTTGTTGATGGGATTTTCCAGCATTTTGCTGCCACAGCAACTCAGCAAGATATCCGACTAAACAGGATTGAGTGTCCAGATTACAGCATTCTGAGTCTGTGTACATTGACCTAAACAACACAATCTCACAGACAGACACGGATTAAAGCAAACACAAACAATGGATTACACACTGACATCAATCCACACAAGATCAAAAACTGATAAGATGAAGGAAGATATGTCTATTTCAAATAAATGCTGTTCTGTTGAACTTTGAATTCATAAAACATGTCACGGTAAAACAAATAAAATGTTTATTGAGCAGCACATCAGCATATTATGATTTCTGAAGAATAATGCGACACTGAAGTCATGAGTAATGATGGCTGCTGAAAAAACCCAGAAATAAATTTTCTTTTGAAATATATTAGAAAACAGTTATTTTAAATTGTAAGCTTAATAGACCAAAGTTTTGCATTGATCATTATTTTGAAGGGGGTCAACTGTATCAGAACTGAGGCACACCATCAGGTGACAACTACAACACACACTTGTTTACATTAGCCTATAGTTGGTTCTTGTTGATTTCAACAATAGATGAGAGTGGTTTTCTCATGTGATTGCACGTGTATGATTATTTCTCAAAAGCGCTATTAATGTATTGCTTATTTCATTAAAAAGCAGATTGTTCTAAAAATGTTCACTTTAGATAAAAAAAAGAGCAAGAGCAATACAGGCTACAATTCAGATCATGCAGAAAAACATTGTGCAGCTGATCTGAGGCCTTATCAGAAAGATATCTAGATGCAAATGTATCATTGCTGTAAGTTAATGACATTGATTGGCGCATGACACAATGGCTGTCATTAAGTAGATTTATAAAGAACAACTTGATCCTGAAATAAACTGAAGGACAAATGAAAAGGACTCGCACGTCAGAAGCAACTGCAAAACAGGCCGTGGTGCTAACTGAAAATAAGCAGTCAGCAGCAAACTGTTGCTCCGAAATGCTCAGACATAAGACACCAATCATCAGATGACAGTCGTATTGCAGTCAATGGATTGAATACACTAACCCCAGCTCTTGGGCAAAGAGACATGGGAGCAATAATACAAGCGCATTCCTCCAAATGCTCGTCACTCTCAGTGGCGACTGCACGCACACCTGTCAAACACATGAAGGTGTGTGTGTGTGTGTGTGTGTGTGTGTGTGAGAGAGAGAGAGAGAAGGTTATTCCTCTAATCGGGGTTAACACCTCGTTCATGCAGCTTACTCACCAGCTGTCCTCCTCTTCGTTAAGGCAATCCATGTCCTCCAAATCGAGGATCTCCACCTCGTCCAGCACTGAAGTTTCTCCGTCCTCGATATAATCCAGCGAATCGTTGTAATAAGAAGCGAGACTAGTGTTCGAGGCGGTACAAGAAGCGATGTCACTGTCATACCCTCCTCCGTAACTGCTGCCGTGATATGATCGCCTGGGGCTCAGCCGGGAGTTTTCCAAAACCCCACCGAAACCCCTCGATCCGCCGAACCCCACCCCAGTGAACCCGGCGAGCCCCGCCGCGGCTCCCGGGGAATCATACCCGGCGCTCACGGGTCTGGTGTTCCCCGACAATCCGCCGGGGGAAGAGAGGTGACTGGATCGGCTCCGAAGCTGCTCGTTCTGCTGCTCGAGTTTCTTTACCAAGTCTTGGAGCTTCCGCACCTCCAAGTCCGCGTTTATGTTTGAGTTGATATCCTCCATATCAAAAGCGACGATATGTCCTCGCGTCACTCGTGTCCGTGGTTATGTCTGTTCAAACTACAGCCAAAGTCAGCAAGTTCGCGAGCCTTTGTAGCAAGGTCTTTAAATGAAGCACTGTCAACCCCGCGGCTCGAAAGTTACTAATATTATCGTCGTCATCTTCTCCGGGCACTCATACACACTGTAAGCACCGTCGCCATCTTTACTGTCCGCCAGTCGCTAACTGGGAAATCTTTTGAGAAGCTAGAGGTGAGACGTCATCACGTGTCTCAACGGGGACGAGCACGTTTTGGGAGCGACCCTTCCCTGGAACCTGGCACGCGCACTTTAAAGTCCCCGTGAACCGGAAGTTGCAAACGATTTTTCTCCAGTGCTGTGACGTATTTCCAAGTGAAACGGAATATTGAACAGAGGGCAGGGTTTTACTCTAGCGCTCCTCCTCTCCATCTCTCGCTCATAGCAAACTAACGGTTTGAGGGGAGTGGTTAAGCGTTTCCCCACCCAAACTGTGAAACCTACGTCATCAGAAAAAGAAACCGTTCCAGACCGGAAGTAACTTTTCAGATTTTGATTAAAGATTACTAAGGTAAAACATATTTTTAATATATATTCACTTGCACGGATTAATTGTTCACCACAAGACTAGTAATATGCGCTAACAAAGTAAATAGGTTCAATTTTGATTTCACGGGGACTTTAACGACTTTAACTCTCCCTCTCCATCAATACAGTACACACTCGACTTCAGTATTGAAACAGAATACTTGTAGCATGTACTCTTACTCAGTGCTTTACTTACGTGTTACTGCGGGGATTTTATACGTTATCTGGACACTTTTAAACTTGTACTCTTACTCAATTTATTTTTTTTTTTTTTGGCATTTAAATAACACATTTAGTCTACAAATTTATTTATACAGTGTACAAATTATATTTTTGCTGGCCAATTTATGGCTACTATTTTTTTGGTTTTTAATGTAGTTTTGGCTATAATTGTATAATAATTTGTGGTTGCTATTGTAAAAGCAACTGATTACAATTTTAGTATAAACTATTCAGACACAAATATCGACATATATATACTTTTAAATATTTGAGAAAGTCTTTTAATCATGTATTTTTTCCACTAAAACAATATGAGGTATAGGCAAAATAACTCGTTGCATGTTAAAAAGCTAAAATTTGCATTGGCTGTTTTTGAGATGCATGTTTAAATTATAGTGTCTTTAGATTTGTGTTCTCTGATATGGTCTCACTTTCCAATGAAACATTATTTCTTGATGTTTAATGGCATAAACATCTCTGACAGAAATCTTCTCATTGTTTGTGGGAAGAAAACTGTCATTTAAGTTTATGATTTTTAAAAAATATCTTTGGCCTTGTTTGGACATGTACCATATTTCCTCACAGCCCATCATTTTAGCACAGAACGAATGGCATCAGCCAGAAGGACCGCAGCAAGCACTTCAGGATTTATCTTCTTGTACAGAGGGATAAACCTGGATTAGAACCTTAAAATGTTCACTCAGTCCTACTCACGAATCACTGACCTCGACTGAACTTCACATGATTTTTCCAGTCATTTAAGACAGCAAGGCTAAGAGATTATTATTGTCCTAGGACAGGGGGTTTTCGACCTTTGCAGACCCAGGGGCCACCAACCCAGGAACCCCCAATAAAGTAAAAAAAAAAAAAAGAAAGAAAAAAATCCCAATAACTGACTCTAGTCATATCAGTAGGCTGATAGTGTGCATCTGGAAGTATTTTGCCAATTGGACCATGATAAAAGAAGCCTTTGCACTCACCAGGGGAGACACTGACACATTAAAGTTTTGATTGATCCAGACCCAAGGTTTTTAACAGTAAATCTATTTATTTACAAATGAGAACGTGAAATGTTCATCAGCTCATCTTTGTCACAAAATACTTTAAAATACATAAAGAACAGGACCAGGAATAGTAGAGGAGTCCATAGTTCATTTGTGGAGTACGTGTTTGATCTCAGGGCAAAAAGAGTTCAAAGTATTTCTGACCCTGGAGTGTCATCCAAAATGTCTCCTGACCCTTGATCTGTCACCTGAGCATCCTCAACCCCTCTTGCTCCATCTCCACCTTCCCCGATGTCACTCTGAGTAGTCATTGATTCCTCAAGCCTGTCCTGGTCCGAGCTCATTTCCTGTGACTCATCAGCACGCTCTTCCTCCTCCTCTTCCTCCTCTGCATCCATTTCAAACACACGTATGTGTCTCAGATTGGCACTAAGCTGATGAGAGAGATGAGACAAGAAATGCATTTAACATTTACATGCTATGCTATACGAGTTCTGTTTAATTCTGATTTCTTGAAATAATTATATTTTTAATTATTTACAAATTATTAAACCTGCAGTCCGCAGTTTTTCCTTTTTCAGATTCGTGGAATTATCAACTTTACGCGAGTTGTACCTCGACACGGCACAGCGTGGATGAACACAATGTTTGAGGAGACTGTGAGGCTGTCAGTCATCGAGCCGTTGTGGATACTGGCATTCAGAATCACAGATTATTCTTTTTAGTTAATTCTAGATTATTCTACTAGTTAACTGGATATGTTTTATTTGTTTGTATTGGTACATCCGTGCCGCGAAATGTTTAAAAGTGCTGGGGACGATATCGACCCTGGCAAAAAGTGGTGGGGAAATTAGCAAATAATAATAATAATTAATAATAGTAATAATAAAAGGTGTTTCGTTTTTTTGCGTCAAAATATTTCTCAAACGGCAGTGCCCCCCGCTGATGACCAAATGCCCCTCCAGTAGATCTGCTCTGGCGCCAACTCTGCCGAGACTCCTTCTTTATGTGTACAGATGTGACGTAATGTCGCAAAGACATGCTCGAATCTCCCGTGGAAATCCACCAGTATCACTGGAGTTAAAAACATTATTAAAAGCTTACCGCTTTGAATCGAGCTACGGCAAGCAGATAGTTTTGAACACTTGCAGGTTATGTATTTGCTCAAATTTATTTTGGATAATTTTTAACCCCCCAAAAAAGCACAAACTGCAGCTATAAATTATTAAAATTTAAATGCACATTAATGGCATCAATATTACATTCATTTTTAAAATAATTCAGTAAAAGAAAACAGTTAGCGCTTAATTATTCTCTATATTTATACATCAGTTTTGACTTCTTTCATTAATTAATCAAATACCTTTAAGTGTACATTTTACATTTATTAATTTAGCTGACACTTTTATCCAAAGCGACTTACAATTCCTATATATGTCAGAGGTCACACGCCTCTGGAGCAACTAGGGGTTAAGTGTCTTGCTCAGGGACACATTGGCGTCTCACAGTGGATTCGAACCCAGGTCTCTCACACCAAAGGCATGTGTCGTATCCACTGTACCATCATCACCCCTGTAAACTATTTTCCTAAATCGTTAAAAAATTTTCTCAAGCTGTCGAGTCTTACCACGCAGGCTACTTTGCGGATCCCATTAACTGCCACAAACTGAGCCTTGATGTTGTCCATCTCTCTGCTCTGGTTTCCCCAGGTCAGACCCTGTACTGGGATCCCCTCAGTCTGCTGCTCCAGCCTAAAACACACCACATCAAAGATTCCAATTCAGGACATTCAATAGCAAAAGCAAAGCATAACCGTATTACAATCTAGTATATTGATGGAACTGGAAATACTGCAATATGCATCATGCTGCTACTACTTACAATTCAACCGAATGAAAGGTTACTGATTGGAGGAAATCAACGAGGGTGCTGTACCTGAGGGTAAGGTCCCAAGTGAACTCTTCATCCCAACTCATAGCAGAGTTTAGAGGAAGCTGAGTAAGGATGCGCATCTTATTCTCGTCATCTTCCACACTTTGCAATACCACGGTCAATGTCTCGTCATCATAGAAGCGGGCATCAAGGCAACTGTATGAGCAGTCACTAGTAGTAAACACAATTTTATTCAGTCATTCACAGACAAATACAAAGATTTATGGCAATATTTTCATTATATGTTATTTCCACAGATGAACTCACGTAGAAGTTGGTGCAGGCGTTTCATCTTCTATACTAGAATTGAGAGGAGCGCTGAGGTTCAGGGCCACCAGACCATTAGGGACAGACCTTATTCACACACACAAATTCAGTCATGCTTATGCTTCTTTCCCAAAAGATCAATTCATGACAATCATGAGAGTTCATTCATTTATTGATTCATCAAACCAATGAGTCACTGTGTGAGCCTAACCAAAAATAAGACTACTTTATGAGTCACAATTTTTTTAGTTACTATATACAATATTTTTGAAAGAACTCTCTTATGCTCATTAAGGCAGCATTTATTTGTAACAGTAAAAACTGTAACATTGTGAAATATAATTACAATTTAAAATAACTGTTTTATGTTGTTCAAAATGTTGTTTATTCCTGTAATGGCAAATCTGAATTTTCAGCATCATTACTCCAGTCTTCAGTGTCACATGATCAGAAATCATTAATTTATAATATGCTGATTTGAGAAATCATGATGCATTTTTTTAATTCTCTGATGAATAAAAAGTTAAAGAAAACCTTTAATTTGAAATAGAGATCTTTTGTAACATTATAATTTAACTTTTTAATCAATTTAATGTGTCCTTGAAAATATATTCCCGAACCCAATATTTTAAACAGAATTTATATAATATATTTATTATATGAAGAGTTCAGATGCAAAAGCCTCTAAATGCCATTTGAAATTTTCTTCTTCTTCTCTTCTTTTATCAAGTTTGTATATTTAAGTTCAGTGATTTCACTTAAATGGCAATGATAATTACCTATTAATTGTTATTTAAGTGAAATTACTAAACTTAAATATACAAGATTGATAAAAATCATCATTAAAGAAGAAAATTTCAAATGGCATTTAGAGGCTTTTGCATCTGAACTCTTCATATACATTTTTTAAGTCAAAAATAACAGAGAACAACAAAAGAGGCATGTTTACCTGTTGGGGTCTGTTGCTCTCCTCAGAATATAGATTTTAGAGGGTGAGATCTCTGGCATGCAGAACACTACGTAATGCATACCAGCCTTCTTATTATTCCACCTGCATTAAAACACACTCTTATCATCATCATCATCATCATCTTCATCACCATGTTTAGAAAAAATACTGTTATTACACATGCAGACTGTAATAACATTATGAACCCTACATTATTGACATACACTACAACCACAAAATTTACTATTATAAATTACAGGAATATCAGTAGTCCACTTACAGTGAAGGCAGCTCAAACAGCCTTGGTGTATTTTCTGAGCTATCAAAAAAAAAAAAATGTATAGAAATCATTATAATTCCAACAGCAAGACAAAATATGTCCTGTAAATCAAAATCAAACAATCTTTTATTTCCTGTCAAATCATTGGCAATCATAAGTCACTAGAGCATATTTACTATTAAACAAGTATTAAACCATGGATTACCTCTCAGGAACAGTGTACAACCGCAAACACACAGCTTGTTTTACTGAATGACCAATGACCTCCTGAAAAACACACACATTTGATCAGGAGTGCATTAGTGCTCAGGAAAAGAACGCTCAGCAGGAAGGGTGAAACAATCCATTTAATGTAGTTAATGCTAAAGTAGTTAATGTGCTGGAGACCATTAATGGATGGAGTTTGTATGTGAGAAGGCAAGTTAGAGCATGCTCTGGAAAAGAGAACAGGATGGGAGGATGTCCAGTTTGTGAAAGAGAAAAGGTTGTACATTTTTTAAGGGGAGGTATTAATATGACAAGCCTCTTTGTTGTCTATAAATATAATAGGCCCTCAGTTTGCAGTTCGTGTTTTATTGTTATTCTTATCTGGTTGAATGAAATTCATAAAGAAAGAAAGAGCTGAAAACAAAAATTGTTCAGCCCTAAATGAGAAAAAGGTTTCAAAGCAGAACATGTAAAAACTGTTGTTGTGCCAGTGTTTACAGAGATAAAGAGAGTAGTAATGTTTGTGTCTGTGTGTGTGTGTGTGTGTTAGAGACTTACGGCTGGTTTCTGTAAGCACAGATCAATGAACCCCTCCATCATTCTCTTGACAAAATGCAAAGACTTCTGTGGGTAAGTGGGGAAGAGCAGCGGACTGTCTGCAACACAAGAAGTATCAAACATGCAGTAATTCATTATATTTCTCATATTCAAAAGTATTTTTTCCCCCAAAACAATAAGTTTACATTAGCAGTCTTGTGGTCTAATAAAGGAAGAAGGTGTTATGATTTGACCTTTTAGATGAGTGCTCTGCTTTACAAATGTCACCCACTGGTTGCCCTCCATGTTGGGTGGAGAGATCAAGTCTTCATCTTCATCCTTCAAGTACTGCAAAATAAACAAAACAAGAAACAACAGACCAAGTATGTTATGAAATGAGGAAAAGAATTCCCTTCTTGTGTAAGAACATGTAAAAAGGTCTTTACCTGTCCGACACGCTCAACGTTGAAATACTTCCCTTTCCGATCAAACAGCTCCTCGTTCTGAAATGGGGAACAGAAAATGAGATGGGCTTTCACCAAATGTTTGTTTAGTATTCAAATTGTGTTTCTCATTCACTCACAGCACTAAAATGCTCGGACAGGAAGTCAGCCACAAAAGCCAGATCCTTTTGAGTCATCTGAAACAAACAATAATATTTACATTTACAACAGCAGACATCTTTAAAAATTGGTTCAAAAAATTGTATATCTTGTATTTTTGGGGCATTCTTCTAACTGCATTCTATAGGCTGCGTTACACAGTGAGTTGTCCAGTATCATCTTATATACACATCTATTTTTTTTACGTTTTGATTCTTTAAATTTAATATTATTAAATTTATCACAATTTTCTTCACCAACAATCTTTCACTCTCTTCACATCTGTTGATATCTCACCTTGTTAAGCTCAGGAGGAACATGATCTTCGGACATTCGAAGCATTGCTGTGAAAAGCAAAAGCTGTTACAATACAGACTATAACAATAAAGACTGTTCCGAAATTTTAGTCATAATCGCTTAGCCATAATGGATTGTTTTCACTGAGCTTGTTGTAATGCATTTATGGAATGTGATGGTTGTTATGAACTTGTATCAGCGTGTGTATCAGGAGTGCACCTATAATGCTTTAAAATAAGAATGATGATTATAAATAAACTTCATTCAATATCGAAAAGTAACAATAAAAATTATTCAGTATAATTGCACATTGCTTGTTTTCTAAATCAGTCAACTTTGTGTCCCATGGCTAGAAAGCTTCCTTAGAAGACTAGGTATTGGAACAAGGAGTTTTTGACTAAATTGATCTGAAGACAAAATCTCTCACAAAAACTACATCTTACCAACATACAGCCATCTGAAAAAGGCTTTGAAGTTCTTCATACTCTTATCAATGACTCTGGAATCAAGACAAGCATTTGAGTGAAGTTTAATAATGACATGTACTTAGTTTAGTAATGACATTAAACTTACTGTAAAAGCTCACTAGCCTTCAGGGTAAAAGATCCCACAGCTACGATGGCATCTAAACCATAAACAAAAGATATAATGTATAAATATTTCATTCTACTTGCATGTTTTTAGTTATATAATTAAAGATTTTATTTAAGTAGTATGACTTTAATTGTCGCCTGGACAAGTGGTCTATAACAATGTTATTATTATTAACTACAACTAAAACTATTTTTAAAAGTTAATTATAGAAAATTATATAAAGATAATCAAAATTATAAAAGCACATTACTAAAACTGAAATTAAATATTGAAAATATCAATTAAAAGCTGATTCAAAATCTTTATAAATAAATGATATATACATCACAGTTGATCTGTATGGCTGTGCATTTGGTCTTAAAGTGACAGCAGCCTATAATTACCAGCTTACCAGTCTGCCATTAATGTTAATCATCCAACAAAACACAGCTCTAACAAAGACTAATATATATTTTAATTTATAAAGTGCACAATATAGTGTCATTTTAAATTTAAATGATTACATTTCTGTACCTGAATACTACCGTTAGACCTTTATTTGTAACTTTGTAATATTGTCTATTACATATTGTCTTTGTAATAATATTTATCTATGCTTGTAAATTTGTGTATTAGTTCTTATTTTAATACTAACTGTTCACTTGTCTTTAATAATGTTTAAAAGTTACATTATCCAAAAAATTATCCGAATTGTGACTCAAAAACTGTAATATGATCCAAACTGTGAGTTTAGTGTTCAATTACACCACCGATTTAATAGCATACAAATAATAATAAAATAAAATAAAAAAACACTGGTCTATTAATAGTCAGTCTTATACCCTCAATGGCTGCAGGATCCAGGCCGAGAGGTTGAAACTTCTGCTTCCAGAGCGCCATTCCTTTGACCTCGCTCAGATGATACAGCAGCGCCTCAGAGCCACTGTGTGCACAGCAATCACTCAATGCACAGGCCGCTCTGTAACATTCTCTATCTGGTGAATAATACGCACCTCTGCAAGTGACTGATAACAAGTTTCTGGATGCAGGAATATGAGGAATCAATGGACTGACCCAACATCTTTAGGCCCTGAGTGGTTAAAAAAAAGTTAAACAATTGCGCTAATGACAGTAGGATAACTAATGCAGTGGATCGAATTCCAGGTAGATTTACCTTGACAGTGAGTTGATTCATGAGAAGAGCCTGAAGTTCAGGGCTAAAGGGGAAAAAGAAATCTTGATATATGCAGTTGTACAAGAGTGATCATTTGTCATGTCATCATCTGGTTTGGTTATGCAAATGTAAAAAATATAACAACATCACATTATCAGGTATATGCTAAATTATTATTAGTCTGACTGTAGCTATACATTTGCAAACATATGTTGCCCTCTGTTGGCCACTTAGAGTGAACACATGCATGAGCAGATTTAATCTCACATGCTTTCAAAACAATCTAAAGAATATTACATATATATATATATATATATATATATATATATATATATTAGGGCTGTGCAAACATTAATTGCGATTAATCGCATTCAAAATAAAAGTTTGTGTTTACATAATATATGTGTGTGCGCTGTGTATAATTATTTTGTATATATATATATATATATATATATATATTTAAGTACATATGCATGCATGTATATATTTAAGAATTATTTGCATGTAAATACTGTGTGTAAAGATATATATATATATATAAAAATAAATAACACATTTTCTTAAAAGCATACATGCATGTGTGTGTATTTATATATACAAAATATTTATAGACAGCACACACAAATATATTTATATTTTATTTTAAAATTTTATTTTGGATGTGATTAATTGCAATTAATCTTTGGCCAGCCCTAATATATATATATACATATATAATATTGAAATTACATAATAATATAATACAAATGTTATTATTTATACATAGGTCATACATATTATTTATACACACATTATTTATACAAGCATATAATGCTTTTATGTTAAATATATTTAATGTTATACAAATATAGAATTATATAGAATATTATGTAATATAATATTATTTTATATAAATGTTATAATGCGATTTTACAAGCATTAATCAATAAGAAATAATTATGAAAACAGAATGATGAGACAGAAACTTTAATTTGCCACCATTATGAGCACAGTGGTATGACAATACCGTTGAAAAACCTAGTGTGACTCATTTATGAATTGTGTGTACCTTGCATGTCCCCATAACAGTAGCTCCAGAAACTCATCCTGAACCTGAGTGCTTGTGTTCTTTTCCTGTAAAAAAAACAACAACTATCATTTCTAAAACTCTAAGAAACAACAAACAATGGCTTCCATGGATCACAATCCATTATTGAATTTATATGTATTTTCAGGATGAAGAATTTAAATGCCCTAATGAATGCCATCGTATCAGATGATCGTATTTTTTATTTGTTTGTGCCTGGCTCTTACCTGGACAAACTTAGTCAGTCGGAGATCCATCTGCATAAGAATGTCCTCCCATGCTTCACACATACAGGTGAGAGAGAGACGCAAATACTAAACGACAGAGAAAGAGGGTGAAAGATACTCTGTGAGCATAAAGACTGAGTTACAGTAAAACACAGGTGCTTCTATGAGTAAGATGCCAGTGAAGACACTCACCTGTAGCAGTGTGGAAATGTGCGTAAACTTGCGTGCCATCTTGGTCAACTCAGGCAGACAGGAAGACAGCAGCCCAGTGTCCAGCTGCAACAGTCAATCCACTGATATCACTCTCAATGCAGAGACGCCACAACGTAACCTCACAGCTGTCATTCTGTCACTCTTTACTTGCAAACTGACTGTGGTCTCATCAACTTCAAATGAATAGCAGTTACACACATATATAGTACTTATATAATTACAACGAGGCCATTTGCTGGAGTTATTGTTTCAGCATGTATAAACGGACACACACCTACACGAGCACACACACCCACAGGCGCACAAACCCACACACATATGACTTTCTTAGAACTTTCTTTGGTATAACGCAATCCCTACCTAGTCCCTTACCCTAACCTTTACCATCACACAAGTGCCTAAGCCTAACCCTACTACCCCTAAACACAAATCTTACAGAAAAACTTTCTGCATTTTTACATTTTGGAGGGGGTAAAAAAAATCATGTAATATGATTTATAAGTTTTTTTTCATCGAGCGAACTGAAAATGTCCCAAAAAGATAAAAAAAAAAAAAATTCTGATAAAACTAAACTTAAAGTAAAGTAACATAGGGAATACCTAAACGACACACATCACATAAAAAAAATCATACGCACACACACACACACATACAATACAAAGACTTGTAAGTTACTTACAACTTATAAATTCATTATAACTTAAATTTATAACTTAGAAGAATTTGGATTTTTTAATTATTTTCTTTTTATCATGGACACTTTTATTTGTCAAGAAGCACAGTGCTGACAATATTGTAAAAACATTACAAGATTTTAATCAGTCTTTACCTGTATGTAATGTATCTCAGGATTGTCTTCTGTAGATCTTATCTCTGTAATAACAGAGAGGGACTTGAGGTCACTAGACAGTCCAAGACTACGGCATGTCCCTGAGATCTGAAACAGACATAAAATACTGTAACACAAATACACATAAAATGCATTCAAAGGACTTCTATTGTGTGTATATATATATATATATAAAGTTTATTAAGAAATAGCATGAATTAAAAGAAAAAAAATATGTGTGAGGTAAAAATTAAAGCATGTTTGAGGTTTTATCTTACTCCACTCAGCGTGGCGATCTTATACAAGCCATACGCATAAAGCTCGACAAATCCAGACGGCCCTCCCACCACCAAGACATTAAGTCTGCAAATAAGCATCAAACATCAATCACAATACAACAAGCTTAAGCAATCAGGTCAAAATCCTACAACACTGACCTCACTTCCCCCAAAAGGTTTGTGACTTCATCTGATTTCTCTTCACTGCAAGAGACAGTACAACACATAAGAACAAACCAGAGTGGACACACATTAGCACATGCAGATGACCAATCAAAAAAAGTATGACAAAGAAGAAAAAGACAAATAAACAGCATATCAAGCACATAAAATATCATCTTACCTAAATATCTTGGATGTGGTGCTGTAGCTGAACAAAAACACAGTGCAAAGGAAAATGGCCATAAAAAATTAGAAAATATAAAAACAAAGGAGCGACCCAAGCACTTCTCATTCAGCCCTGTGCTAGACAAACCAAAGCTCGGAAGCTCAGAGTCTCACCTCTTAGGTAAAGTGGGCAACTTTGGAAGGAAACGACTGGACTCATCTTCAGACTCGCTGAATAAGGACAATGTGCTAGAGGAAAAACAAATGGATTTAACCAAGCAATCAATAGAGAGAAAATGGATCCCCTCTATGTAAAAAGTCACACCTGCTGTCATCCTGCATCTCCATCCAGTGCATGCAGGACACTGGGTAATCCACAGGGAACAGGTGGAGGATTTCTGCCTTCTCTGCATCACATAGAACCACCTGCTTTGTGTCTCCCACACTGAATGCCAGGACTATAGACAACAATCCAATGTTACTAATCATTTAACATGGCAATGGTAGCTTATTTATACTTCAGAATGTGGAGGGGTTTTATTTATTTATTTTCTCTATCATATGTTGTATTTATTCCTGCAAACAAGAGGACATTAACAATTGCTTTAAAGATTGGGTTTATTTGTCAAATCTGCAATGAATCAGCAGCAGCATAATACCAGAGACAATTTAAAGGACTTTAATAATACTAATACTGGCAATATAAAAAGTGTTTGAATTAATACGAATACATTATATGAGTGCTGTATTTATGAGTAAAGTGCACCTCAGTACATATATTTTAAAGTAATTTTTTCCCCCCATTTCAATTGTTTTTAGTCATTTTGTTGTGTTTTGTCATAGTTAATTTAATTTTATTTCAGTTAACGTTTATTGTATTTCAAGTAATACAACTGAGACGAATCAGGCAGAGAAATACTATTTGAGCTTACTTTTCCCATCAGGTCTCCAGGCCAGTGATGTGATCTCTTTTCCGGTGTTCTCATTGGGTGGTAAACTCCACACCCGCTGAAAGTTGGCAAGCCGATGCAAGAGAAGCTGGAATGACAAATAGTCTAACTTAATGAAACCACGAATGCAGTCCTACCTACTGTACAGATTAGGATCTATTGACATTAACAGTACGGTTTAGACAGGTATGTGTATGTCTATATAAGATCTAACCTCTCCTGCAGTGTTAGCCAGGGCTATAAGATCTCTCTTAGGAGACCAGGCCATGTACAGAATAGGGTTGGGGAGCTGTTTCTCCCCGACCTGGCGAAAAGCAGGCATCGTTGAACCCCTGCGGAAGGAAAATGTTGATCAGACGAGGATCTGCTGCTGGACATGAGTGACAGCAGTAATGATGAATGCAGATTATTCTATAGTAAACTGAAACTTTTCATGCACTACAGCCCTTTATGATATAATGTAGTTCACGTTACTGCTATTCCGCAACACAACATTAGCCTGATGTTAATACTTCACGCACTTAGTAGATAAACGACGACAAACGATAAACTCCGCAATCCAGCTCTTCTTTTAAATTCCTTTCAACCGTATAGAGAAACTTATTTATTACATTAATATATTCTTATTTGTACCGTAACCAGATTCATATTCATAAACCTCATGATAGAGTATGGCTGTGCGACCAATGAAACGTGAGTCTGACCCGCCAATGAAATGATGACTACGGAAATTCCAATGGGCCAAAATACATTTGAAAAACGCGAAACGTGTGCGAGACTTCCTATTTATTTAGTCGGGAAGTTTATTTAGTATTTATTTAGTAGGGAAATAACATGTTTAATTGAGATAATACATTAAAATAATATTGTGATAAGAAATAACTTACCGGTTTACAATATCAAGCAGTATAACTATGAGTATATGACGAGCTTTTGTACAGCTAAAATTAACTGGAAGTAAATGGAACAACGGAAGCCAAACACAAATATAAATGGCTGCATTTGCTCTTACATGCTCTTACCATATAGACAGTGTGTAAAAGAGGCTCTTACCTGAAAAATTAGGTGGATAGCCAGGGTGAAAATCACAAAACCTGTCAACCAGGCCTACACGTTTGGTTAAATTTAACCACAAAATAAATATAGATTTCACACAAATCTGGTTTTTGAACCCAGATTACATATTTCATATTTTAAGCATGCTCTTAACTGATGCATACTGGGGTTTTTTCTTGGTAAATGAGAACAACTATCGAACAACACTTATCAGAAAAAAAAAACAGATACATCTTTGAAGGTTTTTGTGCACAGCTTAATATGAAAAAAGGGCTGGTACTTGGTTTAATATTCTGTTGTTTTGGAGTTTCAGTTGGTTTAATTTTGAATGGGGGGTAGAGTTATCATTGTGGTAAACTTTGGATCTTGCACATTTCTCACATTCGGATTCTTCATAGTAGGCTACTATCCTAAGTTTTCTGAGCTTATTGTTCACAAAGCTTTAGGGAGCTCTTCTTGAGGCTAATTATGGCTAATTTTATGCATTTTTATAGAGAAACAGCATGTTGTTGTTTTTTTACCAATCTGACTGGAGACAAAGCCTTGTCAGCAAAGTCATGGTTGACACAGCAAGTGCATTGAAGATGAAATGATCTCTGGATTCACTAAAGTTTACCAGGTTAGTCGACATCAAATATGTATATTTTTTTTAGGGCTGTCAAACGATTAATCGCGATTAATCGCATCCAAAATAAAAGTTTGTGTTTACATAATATATAGCACAAACACAAACTTAAATATAGATTTCACACAAATCTGGATTTTGAACCCAGATAACATATTTCATATTAAGCATGCTCTTAACTGATGCATACTGGGGTTTTTTTCTAGGTAAATGAAAACTACTATCGAACAACACTTATCAGAAAAAAACATAGAAAGTTACTTAATCCATTTGTTTTGTTGACACAGCATTGCTGAAAGAGGGACATACCCGTTAATTCAAGCTTCGCCTTTCGCGTTTACGTTTGAGTTAACACTCATGGGCGAGGTTGAACTGGAAGCCATGTTAATCTTGGACTACATTGGCCACCGTAGGAGTTAAAACGAAATCGGAATTGAGAGGAACAGAAACTAATATTCACTGGATTGTCAGATACATTTTCACCGCTAGATGGGGTAAAAATCACACAGTGTAGCTTTAACAATTTGACTGCTGACCATAGACCATTGTGGAAAATGTTGAGTGCGGTGAATTAATTTTAGCTTGTAATAGTCCGTCTTTATAATGTAATGTAGGCTATATGAGATCAGAATTGTTTATCTGAACAAAATACAATTAAGGTTGTGTCACAATTATGTGCTGTTGCATTAAACAAACAAAAAAAAGATTAAAGTTTAAATTTTTCTTTATTTGCAATGCATTTTGCAAACATTCACATGATCCATTTTTGTGAGATCCATTACGGCGAGTTGCTTTAAAAGTCCCCTCTCCCTCCTTAAACACATTTCCTTTTACTTTCCTCTACTTCTGATCTTGTCTCTCTTACTCCGGCAGGCCCATTTCTTTGCGGGTGAGTGTCGCAATGACGCGATCTTTCAGATTCTCTGGTGTAGCACATTTGGGCTCTGATTGCAGGGACTCCATGGTCAGTTTTCTCCACAGGTACTCTATTTTAGAGTCACAATGCCACGGGTTAAAGGTCAACTCCACCCAACTGGTGTTAATATCTAATATGCCAGGAGACAGAAACTGCAGCCTGTTTTCACTGAGGTCAACATACTCCAAGCGCTTGAGCCCTTGAAACACAGGTGGCGGGAGGCTGTCTAGTCGATTTTTCTGCAGGAAGATATGAGTCAGGTTGGCAGAATGACTAAAGGCTTTTACATCCAGGGACTGGATTTTGTTCTGGTCCAAATGAAGTCTCTCTAGAGCAGGGTGAGCATCTAGACACCCAACTGGAAGCTCTTCGAGTTTGTTCTGCGAGAGGTGCAGAATCTTTAGCTGACTCAGACTTTGGAGTTGGGCCATTGGGAATTTCATAAGATGGTTTCCGGACAAATCCAACCACGTGAGATTGCTGTTGCTGGGCAGCCAGTCTGGGTGGATGTTGGAGATGCGGTTGTCTTTCAGCACCAGGTTGAGGAGTGGAGCGTGATGGAAAACATACGCAGGCAACTCTCGAAGTTCATTGTCTGTGCACAGTTTGGATAACAAGAGTTAGAACACAGGCTGTGACCTGCTACACCAGTTCAGTTGTTTTGGCTGTCATAAAAACGTGTCTGAAAAAACTGCCTTCAAGGGGTTTTTTTTTTTTTCAAACAGAATTTGGAGATTTCTGAAAATATAAAATAAAATATAACGCATATTCAGCACAGTGCACATTTTTTTTTTAACAATTTACGATTTTACGACATACGGCATTGAATGACTGAGATAAATGTACGACACGCTGTTTGATTTGACTTTATTCTCTTTCAAACCACTAAACGGCAAAGAAATTCAGCTCATCAACTTTTACTTTGAAAATTTGTACTTTGAAAAAAAGTTGCAGAAAAAGGCAGTGTTAAATTTAGATTTTACATTTTATTTTCATTTAAAATTATATTTTTTTATTTAAAATTATATTTAAATTTTATTTTCAGTTCTAAACCTCACAAAACCATTCAGCTATAGAGATGTTATTGCAAGACCAGTTTAAAACCTTGGCATGTTTGCATTTCATTTTTCAACTGTCTAGATTTAGTTCAGTTTTTTTAAATAATATTTTACAGCATGCTTTGTTCAAATTAATATTGTATCTTGAAGTGAAACAGATAACATTTGGGTTCAAAAGTTATAATTTAGCATTTATAGAGTACATTTAAGAATTGTTTCTACTTGAGCTAACATTAATGTAACCTTCTGTTGTCAGATAAGTTTATTAATATGAATTACTTTGTAAAATAATAATATCTGAATGTAAATTTTAGGTGTCAGTGCCCAGAGTCACCAAATGTGTCTGAATCCCCCACTGGGTCTTATTAATGTCTTTTCAGAAATAACAAAATAATATATAAAGGTATTCGGGGTAAAAGGCGCCCCTGCTGTCGGGGCGAAAGGCACAATAATTAACATGATAAACAGCTGGATGACTTTTCCATTTGATTTATCTAATCAGGTGTCCACCTTAGAGATTAATCACCATATTTATAATATTTATAAAGAAACCATATAAAATAAAAAAGATATGTCATATAATAAAATATACTTAATAAGATATATTTATGTATTACTACTGTAATTTTTAAATAATTATGTTTCTGTATTTTTAACATAAAATAAAAAAAATTAAATAACAGTATAGCCTTTTTAGAAATAAATTATGTTATTTATCAAAATAAACCGAAAACAGTACAGTCTTGTCTAAAGTGATTTTGAACACATATCAACTTAAACATTATTAAAAACCTGCATGACCTGCAAAAGATTTTTTATTTTTTTTTGCTGAAGTTGCTTGTGGTTTGCATCTGAACTGATGGAAAGTTGCTCTTTTGGTTCAAAAACATCAAGAGATGTTCACATTGCCTTCAACATGGTCTTCATACAATCAAAACATGTTTTTGACAGTGGCATTTGGCAACCCTTACGAAGAGAAGAAAATAGTAACTGTAAAAGTTTGGGGAGATTCAAGGAAGAGAAAAGGGAGTACAACACAAATGAGATCATTGGTTAAAACTGTATAAAAGTGTGAGTGAGTGAAATGGTCAGGCATCTCGGCTTTCTTGCGTTGTTCAATAAAGTCTTATTTTGACTTCTGGATGTAATTATGCCTCTTGAGCTTCATTTGCAAGAAAGAGAAGACTTTTCTTCACAACACTAGTAAAAAGGAAGAGATGTTCGTCTCTCACTCCACAAACGGCTCATTGCGGCTTCCACGCACATGGCTTCAAAATACATGTGACTCTTAACCTCAACAAGCCTGTAAGGAGCTTTTATACACACAGACTCACCCGTGAGGTCTATAGTGTGCAGGTAATGAAGGTCCTTCAGAAGATCTGCTGGTAAGCTGCTCAGTTTGTTTCCGGGCAGGTGTAACTCCTCTAGCTGTGGGATGGCTTTCAGGTGTTGAGAGGTCAGCACGGTCAGGTTGGTAAACTGGATGGTTAAGGAGGTGGTGTTGCCTGGGAGACCGTCTCCAGGGAAATGAGAGAGGCCAGCATCAGGACACACAACCTCGGTGCTTTTGGCGCTGAAGTGGCACGTGCATCGCTTTGGACACGAGATGGCGTCACGGGAACAGAAGACGAGCATCACCGAGAGCGCGTGCATGAGCCAGGAATTCATCTTCACGAGCTTCAAAAGTTAAAGTTCAAATAATTTTTTTTGTTTTGTTTGTTTGTTTTTAAGTTGATGTTTTATTCATAGCATTTCCTCGTTTGTTTTTGAGAAGAGATTTACTCCGAACAAAAATATTTTCATGAATGTAACTTAGCTATAGCCTATAAGAAGAAAGCGAAGAAAAATGAATCGCATAGAAATTTAGATTAGGCTATGTTCCCTGAAGCTCAGTCTAAAATGGTAAAACATTTACAAAACGATCTTACCTTTTATTGTTTAGGTGTCCAGTTATTCCAAAACTCTGCTCATTCCCCTCAGTTATATCCTGACAGAGACCGTGTGTGACTCAAGCACTGTTTACAGGAAAGTAGGACAGTCAGAGAAAACCCGTCACTTATGTAAATAATGAGAACAACTGGACATGCCTGAAGGGTGAAAGTACACAAGAGATTTCCTAAAAGAAAAGTACATCAAAATTAAACCATATGGTTACACGCATGTTGTATTATTAACATTGGAATAATAAATGGTGTAATTTGTAAAAATATCAAATTTGAATGTAAACTGAATAAATGTTTATATGGAACGCTTCATAACAGTCAAGTAGCCTATTAGATCAATACATGTGAATGATTGATGTTTTGGCAGCAGCATCAGCATTGCACAATGAACAAGAGGTTGCACAACAAATGTTCTACACAAATGGACAACTTTTAATTTCAAATTTTGTTATAACAACTGTCACAGTAATTTGTTTATTCCTGATGGAATCACTTGTGCTTAAACACCTCTGGTCAGCCACGAGTCAAATCCGGGGTTTATGATGTTAAGCTAGTAGGCCATAATTAGTTAAAGAGTTTGTTTTGGTTATTATAATGTGTTACTGTGGAAATTTAGCTTTTTAATGTTGCATTATTAAGCTATTATCGTTGTTGTTGTCTCATTGTTTTACGTGAACAAATCGGACACATAATAATTGAACAGATACGTACATCTCACTGTTCTATCAATTGTCTTTTTCCAACAACAGACATTTATGGTCTTGTCATTTTTCGAGATTTCAGAGTCAAGACCAGAGTCAGTTTCACCATGGGCTTTTTCTGCCTAAAGATGCACTTTTCAGAAAAATCAGACCGTCTTTTCCTGGAGGTTTTTCATGTTATTCAGAGCCAGCTTGACCATGTGTCAAGCCCAGAGTCAATGTAGGCCTATGTTGTTGTTGTTATTCTTTAGAATGTATAAATCATAAAAACTTATTTTGTCAGTTGAAAACAATCTAATATTAGAATAGGCTATTGTGCGACAATCCATATGAACAATACTATTGAACAGGCTATTTGAAGAATTTTAAACAATGGAAACAATTAATGAATTTCTGATTTCTGATTAATAGATGACCCTAAAATTTAACGGTTACCTATGTTTAATCTAGGTTTTTACCCCCACCTAAATATTTTGATCTTTGTCAGTAGGCCTAATGAAAATATCATGTATTAAATTATTAGCTATGTGCATGACACAGAATTGTAATAAAGTTCCTAACATATTAGTGCGTAATAACAAACGTTGAAGTTCCAACGGCCATGTTCCAATCCAGTTTCAATTCCAATTCCAACTCAAACGTGTCTTTGGGATCAGGTTCTGAGGTAATTCTTGTGGCTGGAGCCTGTAATGGCCCTTGGTGACGCGCGCATACGCCAAACCCCTCCCGGTGGCACCGCGCGCTCAGCGCTGGACATCCCAGTGTCCCTCAGTCACTGCTGGCAGACTTACAATGATCGTGCGCCGCTAGGGGACCGCGCGCCTTTCTCATCAGGTCAAGGAGACACCCGCGGAGACTGAATATTCATTTGGAGAGCTCCAGTGCTCTAGAGACGCGATGGAGACCTCCAGCAGCGTGCCAAACACCGCCGCGCTCACGCGACTTCTGAACTTCACAGAGGACCCAGCCAGCTTCTCGAAGAAGCCTCCCATGGCAGAGTTGCGCGTCACAGATGAGCCGCTGTCTCTGGTGCTCAGCAGCTTCAGGACTGATGTGGCTCCAGCGGGGCTCCTGGCGGGTCCATTCTCGCCCTCTGAAGAGCCCACTCACCTGATTGTGGCTTTCTGGGATTCTCCATTGAGTCACTGGATTAATGTGTTTGTTGGCTTGGTCCTGTGCTTCACCATGCTGGGGCTGGGCTGCACGGTGGAGCTCAGTCAGCTGGGCGAGCACATCCGAAAGCCCATAGGAGTCCTGCTGGCGGTGCTGTGCCAGTTTGTCCTGATGCCCCTCATCGCCTTCCTCCTGGCACTGGCCTTCTCCCTCAAGGATGTGGCCGCTATGGCTGTGCTGCTTTGCGGCTGCTGCCCAGGAGGAAACCTCTCCAACATCATGTCACTGCTGGTCAACGGCGAGATGAACCTCAGGTAGCTATGATGTCTATTACATCCGTTTGGTGATCAACTAAAGGCTTCAAAGAGATTTTGATTTGTTTTGTTGTTGTGGTGATGCCATTAAAGAACCATTTGGGTGCTAAAAAAAAAAACCAAAAAAAAAAAAAAAACCCTGAAAGTCAAAAATAACTTTCAGTAAACAGTTCTTAAAAGAACCATTATTTTAAAGTTAAGAACATCTTAATCTAAAAAAAAAAACTTTTCCCATAAATAACCTTTTGTGGAATGTAGAAGTTCCATGAATGTTAAAAGTTCTTCGTGGAACCACCGATGACAATCTTTATTTTTAAGAGTGCATAACAATGTTTGTGAAAAAATATTGTGATATTACAAAATATTGTGAGAATATGTTATTAGGCTCATTAAAGAAAAACTGTATACCACGGCTAAAATGAGTCTCAGATTAGCTATGTCACAAAAATCAAATAAAAAAATATCGCGAGAATGTAAAAAAAAGATGATGGCCTAATGTATTAAAAATATTTAAATATTTCATTTGAAATATTTATGTATTTTTGGACATTCCACATAATTTGTGGTTTAATATTTGTCAGTAGGCCTATGCCTCTTTTCTTTCTGACAAAATGACAATATCGAGAGATAATGACACCGGCGCATAACACATAAATTAATTAAAGGTCAGAAGAACCTGTCAACTGTTTGCCTGACTTGGTAATACATTGTTTTTGGTGGGTTTTGTTTTCCAGCATCGTCATGACCATCTCGTCCACTGTCCTGGCGCTCGTGCTCATGCCGCTGTGTTTGTGGATATACAGTCGCGCTTGGATCAACACACCCGTGGTCAACCTTCTGCCCTTCGGCGCGATCATTCTCACTCTCTGCAGCACACTCATTCCCATCGGGCTCGGGGTCTGGCTCAGACAGCGCTATCCTCGAGTGGCAGAAATCATCATTAAGGTGACTAAATGCACGAAAAAATAATAATAATAAAAAATAAATAAAAACTTGTTCAGTTGTCTAACCAAGGTATAGAGACACAGCTTCTTGCATTTGCTGTTAGGAAAATGAAACTGAAACGTCAGATAGTTGGTTTAGAGGAGTCACTATTCGAATACCTTCATCATAAGAAAATAATTTAGAATTATGAATTATGCTCTCTTTTCTTAAATATCACTGGTGATGGATTTCTTATGTGGTCTTAACATCCACAATCTCAGGCCATTAGGAGACTAAAGTCAAGTGCCCAAGGGCAAAGTGCCGTCAAATGGGTTCCTCCTTTCAGTTGAGCTTATCTAAGAACAGGCTGGTCAGAAGAGCACGGTGGCGACTGTGAGATAGAGAGAGGCGGAGGGGTGTGGGTGACAGAGTGTGTGATAAAGGAATACAGGCTGTTGGGGGGTGGGTGCGACGGGAAAGTAGAGTGGATAAAACAAAGTGGGTTGATTTGTCACTTATCATGGCTTCCTCTTTTCTCCTCTAGTAGTATCATCATGTCTGTCTGTGCCATTAACTATTTTCAGGATTCATTCCCCAGGCCATAAATAGCTAAATATGTCACATCAATTGTTCCCAGACTTATTACTGAAAATCCTTTACGGCTAATTGCTGCCCGCTGACTCCTGTTACACAGTGCCATCTTCACAGTTGTTCCGAGATGGTCTTCACTGCAGAACATGAAATCCACTCCCACCTTACATATACCTAAACCTACCCAGCTTCACCCCCTGATCCCTAAACCCACCCCAAAACCTACCCAGCTCCATCCCCTGATCCATAACACCCCACCCCTAAATCTACCCAGCTCCACCCCTGAACACTAAACCTACCCAACTCCACCCCTCAGATCTGGATCCAACTCCGCCCCCTGGATCTCATGTACTGCAATGAGGTGCTACTGATTCTTCCTCTCGACCAGGGTAATGTCTACCAAGTACGAAACTAAGGCTAAAACGATTGGTCAAAAAACCTTAGTAAACTGAAATAAAATAAAATTGTCATAATAAATTAAAAACTAAAACTAAACGGAACTAACAACTGAAAACAAAACTAACTGAAATAAAATAATTAGCAAAAAATAAATAATACGTTTTGTAATTAAAGGAAGGGTATAGGTAATTTGTTTTCTAAACAATTTTTGTTATACTGGTTGAAATACATTACATCCATTAAAAAATAATATTATGATAATAATGCCCATTAGATCCATATAATAAAATCAAAATATTGTGATAATATGTCCATTACACCAAGAAAATATTGCAGATTGTGTTTGCTAAATAACTCAAATAAACTAAATGGATCAATAGCCTGGATAAATTCTGATGAGAAATTTCAAGGAGATCTGTATGACAGTTTAACGCTGGCGACACTTACCATTCAACAATATTATTGATCTGCCTGCATTGACACCATTACCGGTATCTGAGCTGGACGATGACATCACGGTTTTCTCCAGAGCAGCTAGATATATAAATGAACTAAATAAATAACCTTTTTTAACAAAACTGAACCATCACTAAACTTACTTAAGCTGGTCTATGATGCTATCTCCTTCTTGATCTGTGGCATTATTTCCCTGTTATCACCGTAAAGCTGCTTTGAAACAATCTGTATTGTAAAAAGGTCCATATAAATAAAGGTCACTTGACTGTTTGTAAGATTTACCAGCCTATGCTTTGTGTTGTGCTCCAGGTGTCTCTGTGGTCTCTCCTGGTCACTCTGCTGATGCTCTTCATCATGACTGGAACCATGCTGGGCCCGGAGCTGCTGGCCACCATCCCTGCCTCCATCTACCTGGTGGCCGTGCTCATGCCCATGTCCGGCTACGCTGCAGGATACGGCCTGGCCACGCTCTTCGACCTGCCCCCCAACAGTCGGAGGACTGTGTCTCTGGAAACCGGATGTCAGAACGTGCAGCTCTGCACAGCCATCCTGAAGCTGGCGTTCCCCCCGCACCTGATGGGAGGCATGTATATGTTTCCTCTGCTGTACGCACTCTTTCAGGCAGCAGAGGCTGGCATCTTCATTCTGGTTTACCGCATGTACAGGACAGAGGTACTACATAAACAGGACCTCATGCAGGATGATGATGATGATGATGATACAAACATATCCTACAAGAGAATGAAAGAAGAAGATGTACCATTTGATTCTATGTATGGTGCGGTAACAGTGAGCGATCCCAATGTCATTGTGCTTGAGTCACAGGATGGTGCTGGAAGCCCCACGCCTGTATAAGGGGACAAAAACAACCCACTTGAGACTCACTATAGACACAGGACCTGCATATTTAGGATTTATTCATGTCATCAGTCACTATTGAATTTATGACTAATTACTCACAGCATTCTCACTAATATGTGCCAAAAAGGATTGCAAGACTGTGAAATTGGAAACTAATATCATCATGACATCACACAGTGGCGATACTGAATTTGAATATCCCGAGCCAATATTTGAAATCTTTATCTAAACACACTAGCCAGATATTACGATTCAATAGCATTTTCTGAATTAGCATAAAATATAAGCAAAATTCAAAAACAAATACACATGCTGCACATTTATTAATAAAAAAATATATAAAAAAAACGAATAACACCATATTTTAGACAAAGATAATTATAATATTAAATAGATAATTCTATATAATTCTTAAATGATATACTATGAATATATATATATATATATATATATACATACACACACACAAAGAGAGAGAGGTTTATGTCTAGTAAATTATATATTTTTAGTTCAGAGAATTCATTCATTCATTTAAATAATGTATAAGACATTTTCAGAGTGTCATGGATGTATGCAAATCCACCATTAATATAGATTGATGCTGCTGTTTTAATGAATCCTGCTATTACCCCAGTAAAAGGATTACATTGGCTTATTTGATTATGTGGACCCAGAGGATGAGAAGACTGATTCACATCCCACGCCTTATACTGCACATCACCCACTGTCAGTTTGTTTCTGGTTCCAAAACAAGACAAAATATGTTTTTTGAGATTATTGCTTCAAAAATAGTGGAATTTTACTGCTTGATATGACCGATACCAAAGGCTACAACCACATGTCAGCGTCAGATCAAATGTAGTTTTGGAAAACTAGAAAAGCCATACGGCAATAAACATAGACTTTATTTAAAACAAGGTTTATTCTAGAAAATTGATTATGTTCTAGTTTCCTTCTGAAAATATCTAAATACAGAATCCATCTCTGTAATCGAAATGAAAATATTGTAGCCTACATGTTTATCAGAATATAAGAAAATGCCTGCAAGATGAATAAATGTTTACAGCAAGCATCTAATATTATTATTTTTGTTCTTCCAATATCACTGCCAGACTCTGGTTTGAAAATTATTTTATATACACTCACAAAAAACAACAACTTTATATGAATATAATATTTATTATTTAACATTAAAACAGTTTTTTTTATTAATAGGACAACTGAAGTGGCATATTTCATAGAATTTGCATGTATATGTATATATATATATATATATATATATATATAAACATACATATATACATACAAATTAGTGTTATGTATTTAAATTTTATTATTAGGCCTATGTTATTCATTGGCTATTCAGCCATTTTTTTTTGTCAAATACTGGTGCTTATGGCACTGGTGCAAGCTTCTGTATTTCCACCTGGGTATTAAACATAAATTCAGACTTTTCTAAAATGACTGCTGCCATCATGATATTTTTAAGATCAGGGGGCATTTTAGCAACATTAATAAGACAATATTTATCAAAAAGATCAACCATTATCTGTCTGCAATGACCTTTACACAGAAAGTAGGACAAATAATTGTCCCTTTTCTTAAAAGAGTGACATCCATTACTGTAAATTAGGGGACACAACTTCTAACAATATAACATGTAGCCTATTTTTAAATAAACTCTATATTGACATTATAACTAGTTTGTGTTAAAATGTTATATTGTTGCAATTACATCCAAGGACAGCTCTTTGATGTATGTTGAGAACATGCACATTGTGTTACAAGTGAAATCTCTCAAAATCAATGAAATATGTATTTTAAAAGTAGAATTTGGATCTGTTTATGACTAATTAAGATGATCCATGTGGTCAATGTGTAGACTGGACAAACAAATAACAAACGAATGGTCAACAGATTAAATGTTCCCAGAACAGCTAACAATTTAAATCGTTTTTTCCAGAAGTAGCCTATACATTATTACCTTTTTTGAGGTCTGGAAAATCCCTTTTGAAAAGTCCCTGATATTTTCGGATTTGTTCACTAACCGTGTGAATCCATTCCCGTTAATTGGAGTCAATTAACCACCTGACCTCAATCTGTGTCCGTGTGTCTACTTAACCTGCTGCAATGCGTTATACATTCGGCTAAGCGAAAAAATGGCTATGTATAGTAACGAGACAGTCGACAACTATCTTTATTCTTCTTACAATCCTTATTCTTACAAAAACCCCAAGTTCAAGAGCTGGAGACAGAAAGCTTACTTCGCCAATAGCGGTGAGGGCGAGAACTACGTCGATAATTACCACCGGGCGCAGCTCAAATCCATATTGTCTCAGATCAATCCGAACCTCACCCCGCGTCTGAGGAAAGCCAACACCAAAGACATCGCGGTCCAGGTTAACCCGAAGACCGACGCGTCCATCCAGTGCTCTTTGGGCCCGCGGACCCTTCTGGCCCGGAAGCGTGATGCGCTGCGCCAGCGGCGGCAGGAGGTCCAGACCCCCGGGAGTCCCATCAGCGGCGGCGTCCGGTTCCCGCGCACTCAAGCCGTGTATTCCCCGGTCGAGTCCAGGAGACTAGTGTCCCTCTTTAGAGAGGAGGAGGAGGAGGAGGACGAGGAGGACGACACGGAGACCGTGGACCGCGCTAGGAAGGTGGAAAGTGCCGAGAGAGACGAGCGCAAAGAGAGTGAGGAAAGCGTGAAGGAACCGCTTAGTCCAGAGAAAAATGAAAACAAACAGACGGAAACAAATGAGGAAACCAGAAACGAGCCAGTGAAAACCGGACAAAGCGAACCCAAGTCCAAGGCTCGTGTGAGATTCCAGGTTAGGGGAAGTTGATTATCCTTGACGTAAAATCATGTCTTTTTATCCTAACTTAATTTGTGCAATTGAATATAGAGTAACATTTACAAATGGAGTAGGCCTAACGTTACCTTCTAAAAACAAGGTGGACGTAGTTTGTTTTAAGCAGTGTGTTACCTTGTTTTTAATGTAGTTTTTGGAGCAGAAGTATGGCTACTATCATTGCAAAGACTGCAACCTGCGCTGGGAAAGTGCTTATGTGTGGTGTGTCCAAGGCACAAACAAGGTAATTTATTAGATGGATGCATATTTTAACTTGCATCCATGGCCCAATTAAATGTTAAACAGACACACCAATGTTTTCCCCTTCTATTGTTGCAAGTGTATAGCTATTGATTCACGCTTTACTGTCTCTCCTTAAGGTTTATTTCAAGCAGTTTTGCAGAACATGTCAGAAATCATTCAATCCATACCGGGTTGAAGACATAACTTGTCAGGTAAGCCATTCCTGCCATTGTTCTCAACTAGAGGGCCTGAGGCTTTCTATGGGACCACAGCAAACTTCCAAGGGGGTAGAAGTAAAAACAAAACACTAAATGAAGGATTTGCACTTAAACTGATCCAACTTTTAATTTTGTCCATAACTGTACTTTTTATTGATGAACAGTCTTGACTAGGAATGTCAATTTACCAGTATTTTATAGATCATATATAAACAGTGCATTTTGAATTATCTATTCGCTTTCAGACTTGTAAGAAGACTCGCTGCACATGTCCTGTAACATCACGTCATGTGGACCCCAAAAGACCTCACCGGCAGGATCTGTGTGGCCGCTGCAAAGGCAAGCGGCTCTCCTGTGACAGCACATTCAGCTTTAAATACATCATTTAGCACCGTTGCGCTCAGGCTTCATTGTTGCCCAGCTGGATTGTCCACTTCAGTCTCTGCATCCTTGCTCAACAAAGACTGCTGTGGGAAAGCAGGTCCATCAGTCTCTACAGTCTCATTTGTTTTTGTTTTGCTTTAATTTGAACTGTACTTGCAGTAACTGCAGGTGTCAATTCTGAAAAATAAATATGGCAATTACTAGCACATCTGGAACCAAAGTTTTATGTGAATGCTTTGCAGAAGGATGATTTGAATGGCTCCTTTTAGGGTACGTTTACAAAACAACGATTTACTAAACAGAAGTGTTACCTTTGTCACGTACAAATGATAACGTTTTCAAAACGGTCACCATTCAAACAGGTCCGTGAAATGGATTAATAACGCTGTATTCATGCCAGTGGTGTCACTCTGTAAAGAAACCCTGTGTAAACGGAACATGTAATGCACATGTGCATGATGTTAATGCTTTTACAAATTTGCAGTTTACGTGGAGAACTGCATCTTTTTCAAAAGTTTGCATTTTTAGGCCTTCAAAACATTGTCAAATGAACTACCGAACACTCGTTCAGTTGACTCATGTCTGTTCATTTTCTTTAATTCTTTAAAAAGCTAAACTTTTTTTTAACTGACCCTTTTTGATATACTGTAGCTTCTAAAATTGTATTATTCAGAGTTCATGCAGACCACAAGTGCACATTTTACATCTCAACACAAAGTGACCACTTGGAAGCTTAATTTGTAAAAAAAAAACTGATCAATTCAAGCTTCAATGAAATGGGTGTTCCAGTAGTTAAGAACTTAAATTGAATGAGCAAAATGGTTAACTGGCTACTTGCATTATTAACCATTGTGGTTAGTTTGTGGTAACTTTAAAATAATGCAAAACCAGTAATTGTGTTTTTATGTAATGCATGGGGTTCCAAAAATACAATTCAAAGTTTCTCATACTACAAAACCTGAAACATGCCAATTCACAACAAGGATAATATCTACAGTAGAATTATCATGGTACTCACACAAAGGAACACTGTTGGAATTCATTTCTGATCAATTCATTCCAGCTGATGAACAATCACTTTAAAAAGTCAGATGACATAACTGCAGCACAGGCTTGTCATCCATTGGTCTGGGCACTATTATAGTTGTACTTTGTATGGAATAAGGAAAAAAAAAGAACGCATAATCAAACGTACTGCTTATATGGATAACTGAATATCTACAATTAAACACTGAGGGTCGTCAGGAAATGGAAAACGGCCAGAGTTGCTTATAATCAGGTTTTTATTTAACAGTACAGGAAAAAGCAGGTAAATCAGATGACAAACAAAGACAAACCAGAAAGAAATGTGAGAGGGGGAAACAGAAAAAAAGAGATAATGCACCTTTAGATAAAAACTATATTTTTCCAGGTAAATAATATATCCATTAAATAATTAAGAACAGCATTCAAAATGTACCAAACAAGCAACAGAAGAGATCTCTGAGAGGAATGAATACAGTGAACGTTTTATTTCTCAATGTGCCACGACAGATTCAACGCTTTTGTCTCTTGGGAGTTCGGCAAGCGAAGTGCAGTGCCTTTCAGAAGCGTCGCAGAGCCCACAAACCCTCAGCGCAGCCCTGAGTCTAGGGTTAAGACAGAGCCAACATGGACAAACACTAGCCCCAGTTTTCCCTCAGTGGGGGACTTGGGGCCAACATGGAGATCACAGTGGGTTATCAAGGAATGCATATGGCAAAAGCTCGACCTGAGAAGCCGAGCTCGTTCGTCGGGAAATATTGAAGATTAAGGTGGCGTATTATCATAAAGGAGGGCAGCCCGTGACTTCCCAACTGCTATTCAGCTCGCAATTTTTTTGCATTAGTCGTTCGTTACCCTCTACTGAGCTCTCTCTGATTGAACAGTGCATTACACAAATGTACAAGGAAAAATACTGCTTTTACACTATACATTTTCTAAAATATATACAGAGTAAAATAAGTTATTGATATTTCCATGAGTTGCAGCCAGTTTGCACTTCACCTGTGCATCTCGGTTTGTTAACGTGCATGTATGAGAGAGAACGGGTGTGCAAATATCAGTCCATGTCAAACGCACTCGCACGCACACTCTCACGCTCACACTCGCCCTCGCACGCGTACACAAGAGTCTATGGTTTCCTACAGGCAGCTACTTATTTGGTTATAGTTTAAGGGTTTTGTAAGAGCGGCCCAGCGAAAGCTGAAAGTTCTCCCCGACGCAGGTCAATAAAGTTAAACAGATAAACCTCTTTAAATGGAGGGTATGGCCCCCCCAGCTTACAATTACTTGTTAAATATCCTAACATTTACAATCTAAGACTGTTAAAAAATACAATTCTCAAAAAAATATTTGTCGCAGGCTTTTCTCTTTCAAGCATGCTTTTTGCGAGTCTCGCCGATCCATTGCTAAACTCTGATTCTCACAATAACGCTTCAAATCCCATCTCTGCCCCAGTGCATAATGGGGCGGACGGATGTGGATCAGTCTAAAAAAAAAAAAAGGACACTACCCAAAGGTCATAGGTCATTCCGCCAAAAAGCTTCAATTTTAGCATCATTATCGCCCAGTGTCGCTCCTAATGGTTCTCGATCAGTCCCATTTTTCGTACTTCTTACAACATCTGAAGAGGTAAAACTATTTTGGAGAAAGGGGGGGGGAAGAAAAACGCGCTATGTAGGGTAATAGTTTTGAGCAACTAATGTCCACACATTCTTTAGCCCTTTGAGGTGAAGTCTACATGAAAATCCCCAAACCCACCACCCCGGAGGAAGAGAGTTGAGTTTGTGAAGCTCTCACAGTCCAGTGATGAGGACTGTGTTTTGAGTGTCGATTTGTGTCTGGATGTGGGCCGTGGGGGTCGGTGACAGGATGCAGGTCTGGTGGGTGTGCGGGTGAGTCTGAGCCTGGCAGAGAGCTTCACGGATCTGAAGGTTGAGCTCCATGAGGCGCGTGCTGGCCTGAGATAGATCCCTGCTGGGGCCCACCACAGCCAAACAGCCCGTCTGACCCAGAGTCTGGTGCCTGAAGTAAATGTGCAGCAGCGTCTGCACGGCATCATCCCTCTCACTGCCAAATATGTCATTAGGCCACAGGCACCTGAGGGAATGAAGAGAAGTAAGGCCCCGTCCACACTACTGCGTTTTCGTTTAAAACCTTTTGCTACGTTTGCACCTCCCGTCCAGACTAAAACGGGAAAAACGAAGACCTAAAACTGGAGAAGTTTAGAAACGCTGCAGCTCAGTATTGCGTTTTGAATCTCCGGAGGGCGTTTTAGTGTAGACGAGACAAAACGGAGGACTTCAGAAACGCTCATTGGGTGTTATCAGTCATGACGTATCCTTCCCTGATTCGTCAATCACTGGCACACGCATGCCCAGTGTTGGTGAATGGTCGCGTTTTTTAATGTGGACGGAGATCGTTTCTAATACGCAGATAAAATGCTGGTGTGGACGGAGATCGTATTCGTTTTAATTCTCCGTTTTTCTCCGAAAACGCAGTAGTGTGGACGGGGCCTAAGAGACATAGAAGGTGCTTTATAGAGGAAAATACATACTGGAATCTATCAGATTTATGAAAAGAGAACTCGAGGAGGTAAATGGATTGTTAATTAGATTATGGATCCTAACTGGACATGATGTAATACATGTTGCAAGCAACAAGCAATTTGTCTGTCCACGCTGAAATCAGCCAATCAAAATATGGTTTCTATTTAACAAACAAACAATGTAGAGCAAGATTTTGGATCACTGAGATTGTACTGTGGGTAGAGCTACTCAAAGTAAACACACAGTAAGTGATTGACAATATGCCACATCGCTTGTCTGGATAGAGCTGTTCAATGCGATGTATTGCTTGGTGCTAGTTATATGAGAGGATATAAATGGCCATTTTTTAAACAGATGGCTTTCTGGTAATGTTTGATGGACTTCAATTATTTAGTTAATTTATGCCTGGTTTCAGATTATACAATTTTTTTTTTACGATAGTCACCGTGTCAGATTACGTGATTTTGACTCCTAAAATCTTGTCGTGTCGTGGACAAGACACATGTCAGACTACACATCGAGAAGGCGAAACTAGTAGCGAGTGACTTCTGGAAACTAATATAAACAAACAATGGATGAAGTGGAGAGTGTTGTATTGGCTGTCCTGTGTTCAGAAAAAAGTAAAAAAGACCCGACAATGGACAGGTTCCTGGATTGCTCGAAGAGGACAGTATGGGCTGTCAATCCTCCAAAGAGAACTTGAGGTAAAATATTGTTTTCTTATATATTTTTACTTTTAGTTTTAACGTTAGCACCATCGTCTCTCTTTCGTTTTGCCATTTTTGAAAGTTGTGTACGGAAAAGCTTCTGTGCTCCTACTGGTCAACCTCATACATGTGACGGAACCGTCATGGACGACCGTTAAAAAAAATTAAACATGCTAGTCATTTTGTCGTGATGTCGTGAAGCATCAAAGACGCGACGTAGGTTGTCACCCACTATGACACACTATATGAGATGATACGATCGAATCTTGCGTCCCGACACCCGTTGCCGTTTACGAATCCCCACGACACCCTAAGTCAAACGGATCGTGCCAAAATCGGGCTAAAATCATGCAATCTGAACCAGGCATTAAACCCTGCTGCTTTCTTACAATTGATGGATGGAATCAAATCTATGTCCTACATTTTTTTTCTTTTTTGATAATCTAATGTACGTCACAATATGAAAGAAAAGATCTGTTGCTACTTCCGTTACATTGCGTCTTTAAAATTACCTTGGAATCAAAACGGACAATTTTTTGATGGAATATTGCAGTTTACTATAAATACTTTATCTGTGCACATCATAATTTTTTTATTGATATTTCAGAGATTGCTGCAATTATCAAACAACCACCAAGTCCCGCCCAATGCTTCACTTGGCTATCCATTACAATACGGAAGAAAATATCTGTTGCTACTTCAGTTTTACTGTAACTAATCGGTTTATCATACCTGAAGGCTTTAACTTGTGCGATAGCTGTGCTGAAGTCCCGTGCTCTAAGACTCTCGATAAGTGAGTGGATGGCCGTCTCTGTGTTCGACTGGTCCACCTCAAACTCGCCCACTCCTTCCTGTCCATCACCCACTGACTCCGCCTCCTTCAGACAGCTCTCTAATATGGCCAGCTCCTCTGACATGTTAGTTACCTGAAAA